TGCGGAGTTTCGAGCTTCATCAGAGTCTCTTCAAAATGAGGACAGAGAGCTGGTACGATAACATAAGAGACCATATTTGCTCACATGAACTGAAAACTTGACCAATTCATTACTGTAATTATCTGTGGTTTCCTGATTTTGCAGATGATGAATGAGTGCCATAAAGCAAAACAATGGCTGATAGAAGTAACACAGCAACAATAATCCATGCACAAAGAATGTGAAGAGCCGAGCAGAGAACCTTATATCGTAACTTTCCACTTCATCAAAATTTCACTTTTGGATGGCTTGACGACTTTCCATTTTTGTAAATCTTGATTGATTGAGTTTACAGGACATGGAAGCACATACTGAAGAAGAGGACTTCAGCAACTAATTCAGGAGGCAGCAAGGGTTCAGATCGGTAAAAGCAACATTGGCCAAAGAAGTTGAAGACTTTTATAGACATAATTTCTCCATTGACGGAATCAAAATACTCCACATTATCATACTGATCCTTAAAATTTTGCATATTTTCAAAGCTATAGAAGTTAGAGAAAGAAAATACAAAAACATGAAGAAAGGCAAAGGAAATTAGCCCATCTCTTTACCAGTTTCTGTGGCAACTCATGAAAAACAAAAGGTCGGCAACCACCATGGTAGTTAACCCAGAGTTTGCACGTTCTATTGGCTTGCATTGTGCACAAAATAACTTGGGAATTTGAATTTGTATAGTGTAGAATCTACAGCAAGGTTGTCAACCCACGGGTCGACCCGGACGCGGTCGAGCTAGTGGGTCAAGGGTTAATGGGTCACCCGTTTTAGCCCGGTTTAGCCCAAAAATATGAAAAAGTCATTATATTGTACTTATTTTGAATCCAACATAAAAAAATGACTGTACTTAAACTTCAACACACTTAAATAACATCAACTTAAATTCAACATAGTAAAAATTCAATGACACTTTGGAACGAGCAGCCCACTGACCCGCTCGAACGGCCAACCGCCTTGGTTTTTCCGGGTTTTTTACCGGGTTTGACCATTTCCGGGCTAACTCTCAAATGGGCTATTTTAACCCGTTTTCAAGGCCGGGTCAGGGCCAACCCGGGTCAATCCGCTGGTCGACCCGCGGGTTGACAACCTTGATCTACAGACATTGTGCCGATTAATTCTTTTAACTTTTCTAGTGTAGCAATAGGTAGCCCATGCGGTGGTTAGAAAGGCACTTTCATTGTACCGACTATGAGTCGTTTCTTTTATTTTCATACCTGGCTGCACTCTAGGATGTAACTATCTCTCTTTGAATCAATATATGATTATCTTTTGCCAAAAAAAAAAAATTCTAGTGATTTTGGGTGCTCCCCATTTATCTGTTTTCTTGGCCATTTCTGGACAACGCTATTAACGAGCAACTAATCACGGGCCTGGCCAGTTGGCCGAATTCAGTTGTCAATCACTCAAATAACAGTAGCAATTTGTATTCGAGCTTCACATTAGTATAAAAATATCAATGTTCTTCAAATAATTATTTATTATTAATACCATTTCATGATGCGGAGCCAGTATAGCACAATGAACCAAATAGGTTCTTTCATTGTAATTCAAATGGAGATCACCATATACATCATGGACAATATCAGCAATACCATCTCCTTCACGTTCAATGCTCGAAGACATTGGAATTGACATAAATGACTCCCAAAAACATTTGAGTCCACTCTGTCACCTATATCCATAATTCATTTGTCGAATTCTTCAATGTCGATAGCTTCTTGAGGCCTACAATTCTATAAGTACAATCTCATATTCTGATAGAGCTTCAAAACTTTTAATGACGGCCATAAATGCGACCTCTTGATAGAAGAATTGACAATATATGCTCGTGTTCCCTTAGCAATTACTGGTAATGTTTGTCGAAAATCTCCACCATACACAATAGAAATTCCTCCAAAGATCATGTCCTCGTTGTTTGAATGTTTCACTTGCAAAATGTCTCTGAGTGTTCTGTCCATTGCTTCAATATTATGCTTATGCTCAATAGATCCCAGTTTTTTCCCACACGAAGATTGCACATAAGACACTTGACAGTGTAAGCTTTTAAGCTTTAAAGCGCATTTTAGTCCTAATTTTATACACTAAAGATTTTATATGGAAACGAAAGCGTTGTGGGGACTTAGAAATGTAAAATCGTAAGTTTTTAAGTTTTATAGCACGATTTTGACTGCATTGATTTCCATCCATGCCAATAGCATTGATGTTTCATTATTTTCATTAGCTTTTTCAATTTTTCGTTCTCCTTTGTCACTACTTTGTTCTCACCGGGCAAATGTAGATGGAAATGGTGTTTCCATGAGGTCGTGATACCTTGCCCCAGATGCAGCGATAACTTGATAATAGTGTGTTCTGAATTCACAGATAAATTGTTCTAATAAGAAGCACATGTTGCAGATTCTAAGGTTAGTTAAATGCCAAATAGCTTGTTGACTTATGGTTGTGTTTGGTTTATTTTCCCGAGGATGTCGTCCTAAGAATTCATAAGTTATTGAATTTATAACTTTTTCAAAGGTATTTGTAGCATCTGCTGTTCCATATAATAGTGTCTTAGCTGGAATATCCATGTTGTTGAGATAATAATAAATTGTCCCAGTTGTTTTATATATTAAGAAATTAAACATTTCGCTAGGTTATAATTTTTTTAGATCTTCGTTAGTTTGTATTAATAAACCTGTTCGATTTTTCCAGTCTTCTAATTCTTTTAATGGATTGATGCAACAGTCAAGGTCTAAAATGCCAGGACTGTTAAAACTGGTGGTGGAATATTTTGGTATGTAAGATTGAGGTATATTACTCCATCCTCCCTCTTTGCGAGGTGTATACAAATTTTCGTATAAGTTTTTATCAAAAAATAGTTGACCATCTTTATAGTTATTGAAATCACGTTTTTGTGATGTTTCAGGTTGATCCTCAGTTTCAGTTTTTGTATAATTTGTATTTGTATAATTTTTATAGGGGTTTTCGTCGCTACTATAGTCAAGGACTATTTTATCATTTTCGATATTTTCTTCTATCTCTGGTTCAGATTCGATAGTAATTGCGGCTAGTAATGCACCTTTTATGTTTATGGAATTGATTTACCTTCAATTGTTTTACCTTATTTATGTTTATCTAGATGTTTTTCCATATCTTCAATTGTAATGCACCTTTTATTGTCTAATTTGATTATTATCTCTTGAAGTTTGATAATGATTTCTTTAAGGTCTTCTTCTGGTAAGACTATTTCTTTAGAATTTGAAGTTGATTTTCCTATTTCCACTTATCGTTGTTTTATATCCACTATAATGTTAGTAATAGTATCCTTAGCTAGTTATAAATCTGAATATATATCTTTTTGTTTTTCATTACATTGATATTCTAGTATTGTTCTTAGTTGTTTATCATTACTTTCTAGTATATTTATTATTTTTTCTTGATATTCATTCATTGTTTTCCCCAATTTTTCTAGTTTTATTGAAATGTTTTCAGTATATATCTTATTATTCTACAAGGAAACTTTTCCTTGTAGAATACACTCAACATCCAATATGCGTTGATTTGGTGCACCAATGGTCGACGCTAGGGGTGGGCAATGGGCGGGTTGGGCGGGTTTTCGTTTTAAATTGACTCACCCGCTTACTAGCGAGTTGGAATAGTTGTGACCCGCAATCCACCCACATTCTTTTGCGGGTCGGGTTGGGTGGATTGCGGATGAGTGCGGTTGGGTCATGGGTTAACCCGCAAAAGCAATTCTTCAACTAGTCATTAAGAAATTTGACTAACATTTATGATACGTTCATGGTAAATTAGTAAGACAGTATCAATTTAAACACTTCTCACTTTGTCTCTAGTGAACCCATGTAATATTTGCACAAATTTTTTTACTACTCAATCAACCAATTGTGTAGAGAAAATTTACGCATTTTGTGATTTTGATAAAATTAATAATTTAAATTTTGCATTCCAATATTTAATGGATATTAACAATAATTTACATTCCAATATCCAATATCTAATGAAAATGACACAACACAATAACTATTAATAGTAGTCAAAACAACATTTTTGTCATGTGAAAATAGAATGCAGGTCATTCGGGTGACCCGCAATCCACCCACCCACATAAGTGCGGGTGGAAGATTTATCAATCCGCAATCCACCCACATCAACCGTCCACTGCTTGCGGGTCGGGTTATTTGTGGGTGGATCGATATCAATCCGCGGATTAACTACCCACGTGCCCACCCCTAGTCGACGCGTGTCACCACTCATCCTTATCCGATGAAGACCATTTGTTTGTTCATTTTGTAGGAGTTTGCTGCTTTGCTTTCTGCTCTCATGGGTCTTGATTAGTGACTTTCTCCCTGCAAAGGTAGAAACTAAGTCACGATTTGGCCTATGCCGGAAAGTTATTAAAGAGTCGCCCATTCGTGGCAGAAGAGGCTCTCTCTTCGATGTTCGACTTATAGTAGGGCATCGTCCTTATCTCGTTTTTGCTTTGTATGATTCGTCCTTATCCCATTGGTAATATCTATCACAAAAATATATATATATTTATATATATATATATATATAAAGCATATTCATGGATTTAATTTCTCCCATTTTGAATTTGTTGTCCCCAGATTGATTTGCAGAAGGGTGTTGTTGTAATTTCACCTGTGTCTGATTAATGCAGATGCTGCGTTTCATCTGTTGTGCTTAATTCGCCCTTTCCCGACACAGGGCCTGGACGGCTGGACCAGGTTTTCTACCTCCTTCTATAAGCTCTAGATATCGACCCCCACCACTCCATCTTGGAAGGCATTGTCATCAACAACAGTAAGCTTTGCAACCAACAGTGGGCTGCAACCGGCGACATCTACCCAATAAGGTATACTTAGTGCAGCGTATCAGTCCTCCACGCGTTCAACACCTGCCTGACCTAGCGCCGGTCTAACTCTCCCCAATTGGAACTGGTGTTTTGGTTTGGATTCTGAGGGGAAGTGATTTTCATTTTGATTTCATTTTTTCTTTGTTGGGGTAGGTGGCGGACTCTGTTGATGAGGTTTCATCAGAGATGGAAATCTGGCGGTGAAGGAGGCGTCATCACACGGAGATTGGAGGGATCTCCTTTTGTTTTTTTCGTTAATTCGATTTGTTCGAGTTTATGATTCTATCTTATCCATTTTGCTTTTCTGAAATTTCCTTTCTGGTGTTAGCTGGAGGGAAGAAAGAGTATTCGCCTAGCTTTCGGGTCTTACAGGAGGCGGAATACATCCGAACCGTGGAGAGGGTTGGGTAAGTTTTTGGTTTGCTTTTTTATTCAATTTCTATGAGCTTTTTCGTTTTGATGTTGTTTTTTTTTGTGTTGCAGTTCCAAACAAGGAGGGAAGAAAGAAAGGGAGCCGCCTGTGACGCCAAGTCTCACAGGTGGCAGAAGATCGACGAGTTTTTTTTATTTTTTTAAATTTGCTTTTGAGTTTATTGGTTTGTTTATTTGACTTTTTTATAGGATCCGTTTCAGGTGGAATTTTGCGTGATCAATGCACCCTGACTTCAAGAAAATGAACAAATGATGTTATTCGGTTCACACCTCTTCAAACACTGTTCGAACGAGGGTGTTCGATGCATACATCGAAGGATCTACTTACTGTTACCTCTACTCCTATGGAGATTCCTTGAGAGCTCAGCAATTACTGACTGCAACTAATAGAGAAGCCTCATTGGAGGGTCCCTGATGCTACTGCCACGGTTACTATTCTAGAGAGAAAAGGACAAATTTTGAAGAGACTGTTTGTGATTTGATTTGTCTGTCATCCTCCAGAAGCACCTTGGAAGTTTTATTGTGCCTCGCCCTCTAACCGCCTTCTCTCTCTTCTCCACGTAGCATCCAGTAACTCCTCTCCTAGCGTCTTTTGCAAGTCAGCTGTTGCTTTTGGTAACCACCTTCGACACGTCATCATGTCACTGGAAAATCAACCCTATGTACCATGGATGACCAATTAGATGGTCAACACACCAAATATCTTGGATGGTATCCATGTTGTTGGATGGAACCATCCACTTTAAGTTTGGATGGTGTCCATTATATTTGGGATGGTATCCATGTATTTGGACACTACCACCCAATATTGGCTTTGGATGGTATCCATTATGTTGGACACTACCATCCTTTAATCCTAAGGCTCGACTTGATTAATTGGACCATCCATGTACACATAGACCAGCTAATTAAATTGCCCAAGTTGTTCATACATGCAATAATTAATGAAAATTGTTTTGGTGTAAACTAATGCCCCCACAACATAGTGTATAAGAACTAGTTCTTATGAACTAAGTGGTTGACACCAACTGTACTAGATACGCAGCCACTTGAAGTAGATGTTGGCTTTATATAGTCATATTTCCAAATCATATAAGGAATGTAATTCCTTCCTAACCATGTAAACGAAACACACCAAGAGGGTGTCCCTCTCCAACTCGGTTAATAATACAATTTTTAGCCAAATAACGTGGCCTACCTTTTCCTTTTTTGATAAGGAACCCAAATTCTTTTTCATGTAGGATACACCTCTTAACCTATATCCTACTAGCAAAAGGAAATTCATGCCTAGAAGGACACAACTAATTTTTTTCTCTATAAATTGATGCTCCCATTCACTATAATTCACAACTCAAAAAATATCACCGTACCTCCAAAGTTGTGCGATGCTTCCCCAGGACAAGACTCTTTCTATTGTACTAGATGTGCAACCACTTGAAGCAGATATTGGCTTTATATAGCCCTATTTTGACACCAACTGTACTAGATGCGCAACCACTTGAAGTAGGGATGGTAGATCATAGGGTTCGGGATTGTTACCGGCCATGTGAGCTGTCGGTTCGTTGTGAGATGGTAGAGGGGCCGAGAAAAACTCCTTGAGTCGTGCAAGTTGGTCGGCTGAGAAACCGGAGATTGGACTGTCCTCGGCGTCTACATTGGCTGCACGAGGATTTGATTTCCCTTCTCCCCTTTGCTTGCGAGACCCGCTGAAGCTACACCCTCCCGGTCGATCTCCACGGCTACCCTGCGTGCCTTTGCGTTGATCCCCAGGATAACCAATAAGCTTAAAACATGTTTCCTTCGTGTGACCCAACTTGTTACAGTGCGAGCAGCGCTGGCTTTCGTCATCGGCATCCCTTTCCTTATTGACTTGGAAAGCGGCTGCCTCCACAAGTGGACGTCGCGCCCCCGTGATCTGCCGCTGATGTTCTTCAGCTGCCACTAGCTGGTAAGCCTCGGCGAGAGTCGGCACGGGCTTCGTGCTGAGAATTTGAGTACGCACCACCGAGAAGGCATCATCAAGACCAAGTAAGATATCAAACATGTGTTCAGCATCCTCCTTGCTACGTACTTGCTGAGCTACATCACATGCACAAGACCCACATGAGCAACGTGGATTTATGCTAACTGCCTGCAATTCATTCCAATAAGTGCGCAGTGTGGTGTAGAAGGCTAACACTCTAAGCTTGTCCTGCCGAAAGGAGCTTATCTTCCCTCGTAACTCATAGGCAGTAGATCTAGACCCCGGGTTGATATTTAGAACTTGCCACTTTACTGCATTCTCGGACTGCGATTATACTTGGTCGCAGTTTGGTGTTGTGTTTTGGCGTGTCAAGTTTTTGGAGTTGTTGCCGGCAATGTAGTCAAAAGCGAGTTTCTACATAGAAACGTTTTGGTGATCTAGAAGCGTAAAATCGTAAGTTTTTAAGTTTTAAAACGGAGTTTTTAACTACATAAGTTATAAAAACTGAGATTTTGTGTAGAAGCGTTTTAGTGACCTAGAAACGTAAAATTGTAAGTTTTTAAGTTTTAAAGCGCGATTTTGACTACATTGGTTGCCGGGGACTTTCTAGATTATTAGGAAAGGCAGAAGTTTGTTACTTTAGCGTTTTTCTTTTCTTTTTCACCCTTGCTTTTCACTTGGGTGTTTTTTGTTTTTGTTGGTGCAGATCTGAATCATGGATCCTCATGGCTTCTCCAACCATTGGGGGTATCCACCACCATCCGAGAGTTATTACCCCGAGACTCCCTGGAGCAATCAAGGAGGAGAAGACTATGGATTTGGGTTCCAGTACCAACCCCCTTACTACGGAGAACAATAAGATCACTGGGCATATCAAGAACAATCTCCTTATCAAGAAGAATTCCTCCCACAATAAGAAGGGCCATCAGATCTTGAGTTAGCCCCATCCTTCATGGGCCACTCTGCAGAGCCATGCTACACTTCACTAGAAGATCCGAACAAACAATTAAGGCTTCTCGTGGAGCAGTTTGCTCGACACACTGAGAGATCATGCTCCAAGATGGATCTTCAAATCAAAGCCCTTGCCCCTTCCGATCCCTCATTTCTCCATGAAATGGAGGAGACTATTCAGCGCTCAGCGAAGCAAACAGAGTGGGCGGAGCAAGTTTGCTCACATCTTGCTCAATATCACCTTTCTGCTACCACGCTAGAAGAGGTGGAGGATGACAAAGGCTACGGGGATGTTGAGGAGCATACAGAAGTTATCACAGAGAACTCCCATGATAATCATGGTCAGGAATGTCCTCTGGTTGCAGATCACACCTTTCCTTATTTCTGCTCTAACATGTTGGGCCCGAGCGAGGAGATGCAAGATGATCTCATTGAAGAAATTACATGGCGACTTGCTCTCCAATCTGTGCTAGAAGAAGAAGAGCAAGAAAGGGTGCAGAAAGAAGTTGTGGAGGATGACTAAAGTGAAGCAGGAGGAGTTCTTGATCATTTCCCAGGGGTGATACCACATGAAGAAGAAAGGGAGGTTGAAGAAGCAATTGGTGTCCAAACTGAGGACGGAGTTAAGGTGGAAGAGGCCTGCACCGGCCATGAGTTACATGTGATATCTCCACCAAACTTCGAGGAGTTGCTTGGCAAGGACCCATTTGCAGTGTCTCTTTGCCAGACCAAGGCCACGTCGACATCGGTCCCTCTTGGTGGACGCGATAGTGGTCAATCGATGTTGTCATATCTGGTTTGGGGCAATGAGACGAGAGAAGAGAAGAAGAGGTCTCGAGGGTGGAGACGTTATCTGCATCAAGTGCACGAGCTTCCTTCACCTGTCATACCACATGCTCGTGACTTGAGACTAGGTGCTAGTATCAATGTCATGCCATATCAATTGTTCAGGAAACTAGGCCTAGGTGAACCCCGTGTAACTAGGATGAGTCTTCAATTAGCTGACCGATCTATAGTACATCCTAGGGGCATAGTGGAAGACCTTCTGGTTAAGGTGGGCAAATTCCTTTATCCTGTGGATTTTGTTGTCTTGGACATCAATGAGGACACAGAAGTGCCTCTTATACTGGGAAGGCCTTTCCTGGCCACCGCCAAGGCTCTCATAGATGTGCATGATGGGACCTTAGTTTTGAGGGATGGTGAGGAGCGAATAATGTTTTCAATTGCTAATACTCTCCCTGCTTCGTCACCTCTGCATGCTGTTTCTCACCAGGAGCACGAGTCTATCGTGTATCCTTTTGTGCCTCCCATTTTGCAGGATCCCCCTCCCATACCTTCGCCGCCACTCCCGTCCACTCCGTCACCAAAAGAACAGATCAATGAGGAGTGGCGGTCGAAACTGCAGGCAGCTAAGCCTGCTCGAAAGAAAGCCGGAGGCCACTATGAGCTGGTCCCGCCCCCACCTTGGCCATCCGAGTATTCACTCCCTTGCACCTTACCGGATGACCAAGTCGAGTTGGCGAGTGCTGGTGGTCACACCCGCCGTGTGCATGGCCACCATCTGAAGTTATACCTCAAGAGCGATGTGGATCCCTCTTGAAGGCACCCGCCTCTCTGAGCATCCACCTACTGGCGTCCAGCTAAAAGACGGTAAAGAAGCGCTTGTGGGAAGGCAACCCCACCTAGGTTTGCATTTTCTTACCTTTTTCCTTTTGATTTTTTATGTTTTTGAGTCTTGAGGTGTTGTTCCCGAGTCGTATGTCTTTTTTGAGTGAAAACAGGTCAAATTCGGAGTTCTGGAAGCCCACACGGCCAGCCGTGAAAGTCACACGGCCGTGTGGATTGGCCCCCTGCCCGTGTGAGCTCTCGACAATTTCCACATGGAAAGTTGTACTTTTCACACGCCCGTGTGGAAATCCTCGGCCTGCCCGTGTGAACTCTCGACAATTTCCACACGGCCAGTTATGGTTTTCACACGGCCGTGTGGAAATCCTCGGCCTGCCCGTGTCGGCCGACACGGGCACATGTGCACCTCACACGGCCGTGTGAGCTTGCCCGTGTGGTCGAGCCTGCCTCTATAAATTTGGCCGACACGGCCGCGTGGTCCAAAAATTCAACTCCTCTCGCCGGAATCCTCTCCCCCTCGCCGGAAAACCGCGACCTTTCGCCCTCTTTGGCGATTTTCGGTCATTTTTGGTCGGTTTTTCACCAAACCACCTCCACACCCATCCTTTTCTCCCCATTTTCGGCCTATCCCTCGACTTTGAGGCGATTTGGACCGATTTTGAGTCGCCGGAGGCGATTTCCTGCGAGACTCCGGCGAGGCTCTGACGAGCACTTCCGGGCAGATTTTGGCCTCTTCGTCGCTTCCATTGCTTTCCCCTCATCATCCCCTACACCTCTACTTGTGTCTCCAGGTTTGATTTTGACCTTAACCTTGTGATTTATGGAGAATTGGGTGTTAGGGTGTATGTTTAGAGAACAACTTTGTGTTGTGTGATTTGTGTGCAATTGATTGAGGGGAATGCTTGGTTTATGTGTGAATGAGGTTGGGCAATGTCCCTCTTGCTTGATTGAGCCCTTGTGTGCTATGAATTTGTCAATTTCATGCTTAACTTAATAGTGCACACAAGGTGTTCGATGAAATGCCTGTTTTTCATGCCATGTTGTGGGCGCCGGTTGGGGCCTTAATGATGTGCTTTGAGGGTGTGTTTGCTATGGATGTGAACCTTGAGTTGCCTACTTTTTCATGGATGTGCACCCCCACCCCGATTATGCTTGTTTGATCGAGTTTTTGACCCCCGAACTATGGATGAAACCATGGTTCGGCTGTTTTCTGTTCTTAAGTGTGGGGGTGTGATTGACCTTTCCTTTGGCTCTTTTGGTTCCACTTTGGGTTGTTATTTTGAAGGACCATGACGAAGCCCGACCTCAAGCACCCGTTTATTCGAGATTTGAAGAGGGGCCCCCACCAGGATCATTTTAAGAGCGTCCTGGCATGCAAGTTTGGGCAACATCATTGCTGGTCCAGGCGGGAGTTTGAGAAGCTGAACTGCTACGAGCACTTCTCTGCCATTGTCACCAACCGCCACTGGCGCCGTCTACTCTGCATATGCGAGAAGGTTTACCACGAGCTCGTGCTTGAGTTCTACACGACCTTCAAGCACGCAGACACGGAGGATTGGAAGGACGGAGAAGCCGTCAAGTTCAGGCTCGGCGGTGCACCCCGCTCCATGAGCTACCACGACTTGGCGACCGCCCTCGGTCTCGGCCTGGCCGATGATGAGGAATACATCACCAAGCTCACCGAGCTAGAGGGGGTGGACTTCAGGACACTGTACACCCGCCTCGCTCGGCCAGGCAACCGTCCCTTCCAGGCGGGGAAGACGAAGGCCAGCACCTTGCAGCTCGACAACCGCATTCTGCACCACTTGGTGGCAAAGTCAAACACTCCAGCCTCGGACAGTGCCAGCGCCATCACCCGGAGAGCCATGTACTTCATCCAGTCCATGCGCCAGGGGGATCATCTTCTCGACTTGGGTTCTGTGGTGGCCAGAACCTTGGCAAGAGTGCTTCAGAGCTGAAGAAACTCCACTGCACTCCCCTCATCACCCGCCTGGCCACCTACTTCCAGATATCACTGCAGGGGTGCACAGAGTAGGGGGACACCAGTGTCTTTGGCTCATATACGATAGGTCGCATGCACCTGCTTTGAGAAGAGCAAGGAGTCAAGTGGATCGAGGGGTTTCCTCAACCTTAGATCCCAGCGGAGGACCAGCCGGAGGTTCCTGAGGATGCGGGTGATGAGGATGTCCTCCCCGAGGATGTGGATGATACTGCTGCCGCCCGCCCCACCACCTTCGAGTACGGGGGTGGCAGTTTCACTTTCCCCAGCCAGGACTACTTCACTCAGCAGTTCGAGCAGCTGCGTCTCCAGAATCAGCAGCTCTTCGACCAGCAGCACCAGTTCCAGCAGCAGTATTCGGCTCACCATGCCGAGTACCAGACCCGGATGGCCGCTTATGATGAGCGTCTTGATCGGATGGAGACCCAGTAGGGGGTGACCCTGGCTCGCATCGAGAGGGAGCAGGCCCGATCTCGGCGCATGCAGGAGGTCCAGCAGCACCTGCTCCAGCTGCTATCGGGTGAGCAGCCAGTCTGGAGGACTCCCTGGGAGGACTCTCCACTTCCATCTCCTCCACCAGCTGATGATGATGATGATGCATTCATAAAATGACATCGATCTGGACAACCTTGGCGACGAGTAGGCTGTACTCGTCGCCCCTCAGTGTGTGTTTTTGTTTTAGACTTTTTATGTTTGCTCCATGTGTTTGAGGAGATTGAACTGAGTCTGTCGTTTGTTTTTGTCCTTTTGGTTTTCTTTTGTGGATTGTTTATTTTGTGGCCATCTGGGCCAACTCTGATCCCTAACGCCCAGTGTGCTAGTGTGTTCTTGTTATTCCCTTCGTGCAGAACTGCCCGTTCATTCCATATGTTCCCCGCCGACTGGTCCACTACCAGTCTCCCGCAATTTTTCAATCCAGTAACATCGTTCCCCTTATCTCTCCCTATGCTCCATTGAGGGCAATGGCGTGCTTAAGTGTGGGGGGGGGGGGTTGCTTTGTATCGGTTGGAATCTATATACGTGTGCTTGGAGCCTAGTCCGCTGTCTAAATCTCAAGATTTGAGGGCTCCAAGTACGGCTGTTTGATCATATTGGCACTGTGTTTTGATTGGTGAATTGAATGGTTTTCGGATTAATGCATGACAACTGGATTGTGACTAGGACAACCTATTATGATGACTGAGACGTGCAGTAGGATTGTGTAGGGGTTAAGTTTTTCAACTGTTTGCTTACCAACTGTGACTTGGATGGATCACTTTTTCTTGACAGTCGTTTATGCATCTAGTTCAGGGAATCAGAATGAGAGATAGAGCATATAGGTAGCCATGTGAGATTTGAGCCTGCTCGTTTCTTTCTTGTGCGATAGTTCCCTCTTCCATGATGTGTAGCATTCACGCTGTCATTGGCTAAGATGATGGAGGCATAGGATTTGCCCACGACCAAATTGACTATCCTGGTGTGTCATACCCCCTAGTCAGCCCCTTTGAGCCGTGTGTTCTCCTTTCTTTCGGTCTGCAATGAAAAATCACCCTTTTGCATCTCTTAGAAGGTTCCACAGAGTGGTTTTTACATGTTCTCTGCTGTTTCTGCTAAATATAATGTGAGGGTTGGAGGTAGTTCTTAAAAAGTTGGGCAGGTGTTTAAAAATGTGCAGAGGTGGTGGTTCTCTTAAGAAATGAAAGAAAAATGAAAGAAAAACAAAGAAAAAAAATGAAAGCAAAAGATAGCCACCACCAAAACAAATCTAAACAGTGCCCTTTAAGTAGTGTTTCTTAGCAGTCTGGCTTAGAAATGATAACATTTATGTGACCTCCTTCGCTCTTGTGCTCTAAAGAATTTGAGTAATGCAGAATAGCAGAAAGAAAGTTATTGGTTTGATTGACTGTGAGGTTGTTGGGTTTGGAAATGTGGAACCTTGTGCTATGAATACTTCCACCACTTAAAAGGCCTTTTCCCCATGTCCAAGACCCTAACCAGTCATTTGAACCTGTGTCTAAGACCTCCGGATTAGTTAGTGATGACACCCATTTATGTGAACTCTAACACTTAGAGGCTACCGTCATGGTGAAGAGATGTTAGGGATTGAGAGAATAAGTATGCGCATTTTTCGCATCAAATTGTCCTGGCCCCACTAGTCGAGAGTGAGTGATTCATTTCCTTGTTCCTTACACTCTTTACCCCGGTGAGGAACTAGATGGCTCAGTCTTGATTCTGATGTCTTGAGTTTTATGCATGAGTTGACTGTCTTGAGTAAGTGGTTGAGTCAAGTCTATGTTGGTTGATGAACAGAAGGGAGACTCCTCCTTTACTCGATTTTGCTGCACTCAAATGTCGTCTGTGGTGGTTGTCCAGGTTGCTATTGAAGTTGTTCATGTGTTGGTGTTTGAAAGCCGTTATGATTCACGTGTTTCTGTGCCTATATGATTTGTCCCCAATGTTGGTATGATTGAAATATGTGAGCTTACCTTGTGTCTAACTTGGTTTGCTTGGGGACAAGCAAACGGTTAAGTGTGGGGGAGTTTGATAAACCGTTAATTGCACATATTTTTACCCCTATTCTTGAGCCGTTAGAGATGTTCATTCTCGTGTTTTAGGCCGATTTCACGCTAGGTTGTGCTTGTTTGTGATATTTCAGGTCCTAGTACGTGAATGAAGGTTTGGGAGCGAGTTTGGGGTCGATTGGACGAAGATCGGACGTGTGGCGAGTCGTTGAGGAAGCCACACGGGCACCCATAAAACCCACACGGCCGTGTAGGGAATCAATGTGGTCGTGTGGGATTGTGCGAGCCTTCACACGGGCAGACTGGAGGCCCCATACGGCCGTGTGTCCCTGGTCGTGTAGGAAGCCTGAAATCCAATTAATCGAAACTCGGCGTTTTGTCTCTCACACGGGCATCTGGGTAAGCAACTCGGCCGTGTGGCCTACCCGTGTGAGTCGGGAATTCTGGTTTTTACCCAATTTCGAGGCACAAGTGAGAGAATCGACTTTTCAGAGCAAAAACAGAGTTTTAGAGAGAGAAAGGGCGAAGAACAAACCCTAGGAGCTATTTGGAGTGGATTTCTCACCATTGAAGCCCAGATTGCGTCCCTAGGAGTGAAGATTGACAACCCAGAGCAGATTTTCCTCATCTTTATGAGTATTACTACTCTGATTTCTAATTTCCTCTCTCTCTATGGAGTAGAACCCTTCTCTCACTTGGGTATGAAGAACCCTAGTTCCATGTGTTAGGCATTTGATTGTAATGACTTGGGATGATTATACTAATTGGTTTTAATCGAATGATGCATGATTTATTGAATAGATTGAAGTCCGATCAGCTTTTCTTGATTTCTGATGCAACCTGAGATAGATAGAATCTGATTAGGTTGTTAGAGCTTCATCATTCGGTAGTAGTGGATTGGCTATACGAGAGTTAGTCAGTCTATTGCTTTGTACTGGAATCCCATTCCAGTAGTGGAGTTCTGTGCTTATTGCTTGAGCTTTCTATCCCGGTGAAGACTAGTCGTCTGCCGGGTATTTAGACTGAGAGGGCTTGGTCAGCTTAAGAGATTCCAAGCTACTGTCGGATCTTCCGCAGTTTAATCAACAGTAAATCAACCCAGGGTAATTACAACTGAGACCTAACTAAGGAGCTAGGGGGACTCATTCCCGAGTGACTCTTCCTTTGCTTGAGAAAACCAAACCAATTCCTGCTTTCTTTCTGCTTTCAGTTAAGACCAAAAATCAATCGACTTAGTTTGCTAGATAATAGATAATCACGGAGTAGGCAGTAGATCTAGACCCCGGGTTGATATTTAGAACTTTCCACTTTACTGCATTCCCGGTCTGCGATTATACTTGGTCGCAGTTTGGTGTTGTGTTTTGGCGTGTCAATAACCACCACAAATATCCATGTGCACCAATTCGAAACAAGCATGAGTGCGAATAGAATGCGTAACAAAAGGCGCTCTCGTCTGCTTGGCACGCAAGCAAGAATCACAAAAGCAGAAGGAACTCGTCTCCCAGTAGCCTTGAGGTCCTCAATACGGCGGAGATAGTATAGGCCGTCATGGAGCTGGCCCAATCCAATCAAGGTCCTGGAGCGTAAGTCCTGGAGGACACAAACATTACCCAAAAAGAGCAAAGCGACGTCATTGTCCTTGGTTAAGCGACTAACAGAGAGCAAGTTACAACGGAATTGCGGAACATGTAGCACTCGATCCAGCTTAACGCTACCATTCAGATTAAGTGTACCAACCCCTGTCACTGGAATACTCGCACCGTTCGGTATCCTAACGGGAGGGAATTGTCCCGTAGCATCTACAGTTTCTAACCAACTCAAATCTCGAACTATATGTTCGTTGCAACCAGAATCGATAATCCAATCATAGGGTTCAGGATTGTTACCGGCCATGTGTGGTGTCGGTTCATTGTGAGATGGTAGAGGGGCCGAGAAAAACTCATTGAGTCGTGCAAGTTGGTCGGCTAAGAAACCTGGGATTGGACTGTCCTCGGCGTCTACATTGGCTGCATGAGGATGTGATTTCCCTTCTCCCCTTTGCTTGCGAGACCCGCTGAAGCTACGCTCTCTGGGTCGATCTCCACGGCTACCCTGCCTACCTTTGCGTTGATCCCCAAGGTAACCAATAAGCTTAAAACATGTTTCCTTCGTGTGACCCAACTTGTTACAGTGCGAGCAGCGCGGGCTTTCGTCATCGGCATCCCTTTCCTTATTGAATTGGAAAGCAGCTGCCTCCACAGGTGGACGTCGCGCCCTCGTGATCTGCCGCTGCTGTTCTTCAGCTTCCACTAGCTGGTAAGCCTCGGCGAGAGTCGGCACCGGCTTCATGCTGAGAATTTGAGTACGCACCACCGAGAAGGCATCATCAAGACCAAGTAAGAAATCAAACATGTGTTCAGCATCCTCCTTGCTACGTACTTGCTGAGCTGCATCGCATGCACAAGACCCACATGAGCAACCTGGATTTATGCTACCTGCCTGCAATTCATTCCAATAAGTGCGCAGTGTGGTGTAGAAGGCTGACACGCTAAGCTTGTCCTGCCGAAAGGAGCTTATCTTCCCTCGTAACTCATAGGCGCTCGTGGCGAAACTGGTGCCGAACCGTTGCTTCAAATCAACCCAAATATCACACGCTGTCTTCGCACCCCGCACACTATTCCGCACCTCTTTGCTCATGGCCGTCTTGAGCCATCCCTTGACGGTAGCATCGCAGCGCCCCCATGCTTCATCAAAAACCCCAAAACCATCCTTTCAACGAGGTAGAGACCCATCGACAAAGGCCATCTTGTTTTTCTCGATTAGGGTTTCAGTCATATCACTAACCCATTCGCTATAATTCAAGCCTGTGAGCAAATCACTTCCGAACAGCTGGCCCGAATTTTCTGATGGATGGAGATACAGAGGCGACGTGAGGGGTATGACGTCGTTGATCATTGACGAACCGCCCTTACCATTCTTATCATCCTCTCAAAACATCTCGATCTTCTAGGTATGAATCGACTATCGCTCTGATACCATGTAAAATAGAGTAAAACGCGGAAGCACAACACAACGATATACGTGGTTTCCCCGTTCAGAATGAACGAGACTACTCCACGGTGAGCCGAAGCTCGAGTCAATCTTATTAGCCGCAGCTGATTTGCTGTATACAACTCTCTCTCTCTCAATCAACCTAAGCCGCACCACTTCACATTTTATACTCTACGTGAGCATTAGGTTAAGCATGCACAAAATACGAAATGGTCCCTCAAAATAATAATATGTAAAAAGCTATCACACATTTCTACAAGATCTTCAATCTCCATCTCCAAGCTTGATTCTCAAGCTCCAATGGTGAAGAAATCCTCCAAAATAGCTCCAAGAATGGCTCTAGATCACCCTCTCTCTTTGGTTCGTCCCTTGGGTGTTTGGGATCCAAAACCCAGCCCTCCCTCTCCAAAATCGCAAAACGGCTTTTATACCCGCTGAAACTCGCACCCCCTACTTGTACGGCCGTGAAAATTGAGGTTTTGGCCGTGCAAACCCCCTGGGAAACTCACACGGCCGTGCATAAGTTTACACGGCCGTGCACAATTTCCAGCATGCACTCCTAAGCTTCGTTGATCTTGTTTGAGCTCGTTTGACCTCCGATTCAGGTTCCATTTGATCCCAGATGCTTGTATTCTTGTCCTCTTTCTTTTCATAACAACCTTTCATGATTATTTGTCAATAAAATGAGTTGGAAATCCATTCTTCCTCAAGTCATTCCCGAGTTTCTCACCCCAAGTCGCCAATTGATCTCCGATTGACTTGAAACTTGCGCTTAGGCTTCACTTTACATGCTAGGACCTGAAATAATACAAAGGAACATAACCTAGCATAAAATAGTCCAAGAAATAAAAAAAATCAAGCCAAAATGATCAAGAAACGAGGGTGCAAACCTGTGCAAGTACGACGTTATCAGCTATATTCATACCAAAGTTTAATTCATTGGATTTTGCTTGCTTGGACTTAAGTTTTAGCAAGCTCATATGGTGTTCCTATGTTGAGATTGATTCCTGGAACCTATAGTTTGAAGAAATTGATGAAGTGTCCTCCAATTTATTTTCTATCAAAGACGCAACATTTTAATGCACCATCGTACTCGAACGTCTTTAGTCCATGCTTCTACCAGTATCGGTTGTTTTATTATTTCATGGCAGGATCACACTATAATTACACAAAAAAATTTGCCTCTTCATATTTCACTATTTGTTATGTAGTTGACGTTCATGTGTGTGCAATACAGGCTTGCATGTGACTCGCTAAAACACAACTACTAACAATGGCCAAGTAATAAATATCAAATCCACTGGTCTCTAGAGTTACTATTACTCAGCTTAAGTTTATTATATAGCAAACCAAATTAATGATTGATTTACTAAACTACTCTACTAACTAAACCAAGGCTAAACTACTAATTACAGGTTGGGAACTCACTTAGGTATGATTCCCCCTAACTCCTCAATTAGGTCCAAGTTGTAATTCTTTTTGTTTGTTTTACTAGTTGATTAAACTGCGGAAGATCCGACTGTAGCTTGGAATCTCTTAAACTGACCAATCCCTCCTAGACAAAATACTCGGTAGACGACTAGCCTCACCAGGATAGACTGCTAAGGCGATTAACACAGATCTCCACTACTTGGAACGAACTCCAGTATAAGACAGTGAATCGATTGACTCTCGTACAATCAATTCACTACTATCAATCAAGGAAACTCTCTTAACCCAATCAAATTCTATCTATTTTAGGTTAAAGTAGAAATCAATAGAATGTGATCATGATCCACTTGACTCAATAAAACATGCCTCAATTGATTATAGTCAAACAATATAGCATCCAAAGGTTCAAACAACAAAGATCCTAACACATGGAACTAGGGTTCCTCAAAACTTAAGTGAAGGGAAGTTACTCCATAGAGGAGAGAGATTATCGTATAACTTTCCCTATCTTCAATCTTCATGTCTAGACTTGTTCCTTGAGCTTCAATGGTGGAGAATCCTACAAAATAGCTCCAAGAATGGCTCTAGATCACCCTCTCTCTCTTTGGTTCATCCCTTGGGTGCTTGGGAACCAAAACCCAGCTCTCTCTCTCTCTCTCAAAAATCGCAAAAAACAGACTAGCAAGGGGCAGAAACACGGTCGTGTTTCGAAGCCCGTGTTTCAGCCCTGCCCGTGTTTCTTATCGGAAATAAAAAAACACGGGAACAAGAGGGGAAAACATTACCGTGTTTTCCTGCCCGTGTTTCTTCCTCCACTCTTGTTTGATTTTTCGTTTCTCCCTCGTCCGGACAACGAATCAGTCGCCGTTTGATCCCAGACGCTCGTAGCCTCATCCTCTTTCTTTTATTGACAAGATTCCATGATTATTTTTCCATAATATTAGGTATAAATCCATTCTTCCTCATGTCATGCTCGAGTTTCTTCTCCCGAATTGCCAAATGATCTCCGATTGACTTGAAACTTGCGCATATGCTTCACTTTACGTGCTAGGACATGAAATATGAAAAAGGAACACAACTAGCATAAAATAGGCATAAGTATGATAATAACCAAGCTAAAAAATCAAGGAATGAGGGGTAAAAACATGCACAAATACAATGTTACCGAATTCCCCCACACTTAACCGTTTGCTTGTCCTCAAGCAAACCTCACTTAAACCAATGCAACTCTCCAGACCTTTACAGCAACATGCAACCCTTATCTTCAGTAAAGGACTTCCTAGATCATTTAGTAGTTTACGAGGTCAACCAAAGCACAAGACACCTCCTAGCTTCTTCGGCGAGAACTCTAGTCCCGAGTCGGGATCATGCCAAGTAGTGATCGTAGGACAAATGATCCGTGGATAAAAAGACTCTCAAAAACAGAAAAATCATGGACTCAACTTTTTAGGTGCTCTATTTTTTTCCTTGAAGATGGTTGGAACCCCTTTCTTCTTTTTTTCATTTCTTGTTTCATTTTTTTTTTCTCTTTTTTTTTGGCAAGGGTTCCAATATGTTATTTTCATAAAACGGGGCTCCCACCTAGAAAAGATTTTGAGGGAGCTAAGCTCTTACCGACCATGCCTGGAGGAGATGTCTCAAGTCTCGTGCAGGGGAAAAAGGTGTAAGGGGGCTGGAGGTAGTAGGTGGAAGTTGGGAACAGATTCTCGTCTCCCCTTACACACTTTCACCGTTTTCCACACTAGAGACATTGTTTTAAAATCACAATTTAGAGCACCTTTTTCAAAACATGATACAGGATTCCATGACAGGTAGAGAGTCATCGATACCACACGATTCAAGTGTACTAAGATCACTAATTCACACAATCATCCAACGCAATATGAAGAAGAAAGGAGACTTCTTAAATGCATCAACATCCTCCATAATGCTACACTACCTCCCTGGGTTTCATATTACTATAAAGATTGTCAATTCAAAGCATACTAAGCAGGAAATTTGCAAGGAGATAAGTACCTGGATCCCTCAAATTTTAAAAATTTGGACTGTGGACTAGGCTCCAAGACAAGCAAAACAACATCAATCATCACACCCAAATACAATTGAACACCCCTTACACTTAAACACGACATTGTCCTCAATGGAGGGAGATGAGGAGGGTAGAAGAAAATTACCGGATAAGGTGATGAATGATGGTGGATGGGGTAAGAGGTGTGTCCCGTGGAAGAGAGAGTCGGTGGAAACACAAACACCACACTAAAGCTCACAAAGGTTGATTTATTGACTCGAAAATCAAAAGACTGACTCGTCCAAAGAGTAAAGGGAAAGAAAGTGCAAACCGACTGGTTGGGTTGCCTCTCAACAAGCGCTTCTTTCACATCATGAGTCGGACGGTGCCTCCTCAGTCGCGGTCCACCCCAGAACCTCCTTGAAGTTGAGGTTCTTGTCGATGATGTGGAGTCTCAAGTCACGAGCATGTGGTATGACAGGTGATAAAGGCTCGTGCACCTGATGCAGATGAATTCTCCACCCTCGAGACCTCTTCTTATCTCCTCTCGTTTCATTGCCCCAAAGCAGTTATAACAAAATCGTTTGGCCACCATCACGTCCACCAAGAGGAACCAATGTCGATGTGGCCTTGGTCTGGTAAAGATACATTGCAAATGGGTCATTGCCAAGCAGCTCCTCGAAGTTTGGTGGAGATATCACATGTAACTCATGACCGGTGCACGCCTCTTCGACTACAACTTCGTCCTCAGCCTGGACGCCAATTGCTTATTCAACCCCCCTTCCTTCCTCAGAATTTGATTCCTCCCCTTGGAAAAGATCAAAAACTTCCTCTAATTAACTTTCTTCATCCTCCACACTTTCTTTCCTCATCCTTTCTCACTCTTATTCTTCTGCCACAGATTGGAGAGTAAGTCGCCAAGCAATTTCTTTCATGAGATCATCTTACATCTCCTTGCTCATGCCCACCTCTTCAAAGCTCGATGTGGGATGTGGAAAGATTTGGTCGGCTACAACATGATATCCCTGATCATGATCATCACAGGAGCTCACTGTGACAAATTTTGTATGCTCCACAATATCCTTGTAGCCTCATTCATCCTCCTCCTCTTCTTCTATGGTAGCAGAAAGGTTTTCTTGAGCAAGTTGTGCACAAGCTTGCTCAATGACCTCGAGGTTCTTCTTAATGCTCGGGAGGGTCTCCTCTGTTTCACGGTTGAATAACTCAATTTGGGAAACGGCCGGGATATGAAGATCCATCTTGGGAAATGATCTCTCAGGTACTCGAGCAATCTGCTCCACGAGAAGCCTCAAGTGATAGTTTGGGTCTGGATGTGGAGTGTAGCATAGCTCTACTGGATGGCCCGTCAAGGTTGTGGCTAACTTAAGATCTGATGGCCCTTCTGGTTGTGGGAGGAATTCTTCTCGATAAGGAGATTGTTCTTGAAATACCCAGGGGTCTGATTGTTATTCGTAGTAGGGGGGTTGGTACTGAAACCCGAATCCATAGTCTTCTCTTCCTTGATTGGTCCAGGAAGTCTCGGGGTAATACCACTTGGGTGGTAGTGGATACCACCAATGGTTGGAAGCCATGAGGATCCATGTTTTAGATCTTGACCCGCACGAAACTACACAATAAAATCCCGACTAGAGTCCAAGTTTTTAAACTCTAGCCGGGTGCAGTATAGAGCAAGTATTTAGATATCAACCCGGACAGTCTGTCTACCCCTACTTCAATTGTTGAAATCATTATCTAGAAACAAAGTTTTGGTTTGAAAGTTTGCTAATTATAATAAAATAAAGCAAAGGTAAATGGGTTCGAAAACTCTTTTGTAGAAGGATCACTCTGGTGTCGCTTCCCCCTAACTACTACCATGATATGTGAATGGGAACGATTGTTTTGGGTAAGGTAATCGAAAACCGCAGAGGGATGCATATATGGTCGGGGACCACAATCTCAATTGCTAAACCGAGGTGAACATTAAAGGCCGTGTCACTCGACCCTCTCGGTTTAGGCAATCAGTAATTGACTTACTCCCTCACTCAAATCAAAGGTCGGACGACTTAATCACGATTAACCTATATGCTTAATTCAACACCAAGGGTTGCCCTAAATTAACCTAGTTAGGTGGCTTAAAAGCTGAAGGAAAACCAACTCGATTGAGTCTCCCTTGGAAGGGGGATTTTCCTATCTAAGCTAGGTTAAGGTGGCTAATTAGATTGCTAGCACCAACATGCACAAACCTAAGGGTTCTAATTAAGCACAATTATGCACAATCCTTAGTTTGCTAAGCACCAAAATGCACAAACCTAAGGATGCTAAGCACAAAACATGCACAACCCTTAGGTTGCTAAGCACAAGCATGCACAATAAATCATAAAAAATACCTCAATCATTGAATTAAACAATACCCAATGACAATCATTCAATTCACATAAAAGAAACTACATGGTAGAGTTAGGGTTTCACAACACCCAAGTGAAAGGAGATCTACTCCATGCTAGAAATGGGAAAACACAAAGAGAAGAAGAGGAAACCATCTTGGAGGATGCTCCCAATCTCCTTGGCCCTTGTGTTGAGCTTTCCTTGGAGGAAATCTTCCCAAAATCCACCTTGAAGCAAAACCCTAGCCTTCTTCTTCCTTGGTTCGTGTTTCTCTCTCTAGAAATCTGAAGAAGGCTTTTCACACAAAGTGGGCTCTCCCCTCTCTCCTCCTTTCAGCTCATCATTTAAACCAGAGACGAGCTCAGTTCACGACCGTGAACCACGAAACGCTTCCGTGAACTGCAGGCGTGTGCCAAAACACACCACTTCGATCTCTTCTATTCACGGTCAACAGCCTTCGTTCACGGTCTTAGTGACCGTGAACTCACCTTGCGTCAGCAACCTCCGTTTTGGCTCTAGACACCTCGCGATTCACGGTCAAGGGCTCTTCTTCACGATCGTGCAAGACCGTGAACTTCCTCGGATAGCCGTGAACTAGCCCCTTTTCACCTCTTTTTGGTGCAGACGCCGAGGCTAGTTTCACCTGATAAACCCTGAAACACACTAAAACACGAGGAACCTAGCGTAAAACCAACCTTTTAGGAGTGAAATTAGCACAAACACCTAAGTAAAACGGGGGCAAAACATGTACAATTTGGCCCGAATCAGATCTTCACCAAGAAAAACAAGACACCCAAGTGAAAAGCAAGGGTGGAAAATAAAATAAATGTTAAAGTAACAAACTTTTGACTTTCCTAATAATCTAGAAATTCTCTGGCAACGGCGCCAAAAACTTGACTCGCTAAAACACAACTCCTAACAATGGCCAAGTGTAACCAATGAAAGGGACTGCAGTATAGTAGCACAAGTAATAAATATTGAATCCACGGGTCTCTAGAGTTACTATCACTCAGCTTCAGTTCATTATCTAGCAAACCAAATTAATGATTGATTTACTAAACTACTCTACTAACTAAACAAAACTACTAATTACAGGTTGGGAACTCACTCAGGTATGATTCTCCCTAGCTCCTCAATTAGGTCCAAGTTGGTTATTTTTCTGTTGATTAAACTGCGGAAGATCCAACAGTAGCTTGGAATATCTTAAGCTGGCCAAGGCCTCTTAGACAGAATACCTGGCAGGTGACTAGCCTTCACCAGGATAGAATGCTAAGGCGATTCACACAGACCTACTCTACTTGGAACGAATTCCAGTACAAAATAGTGAATCGATTGACTCTCGTACAATTAATTCACTACTATCAATCAAGGAAGCTCTCTTAACCCAATCAGATTCTATCTGTCTTAGGTTAAAGCAGAAATCAATAGAATGTGATCAAGATCCACTTGACTCAATAAAACATGCCTTAATTGATTATAATCAAACAATTTAGCATCCAAAGGTTCATACAAGAAAGATCGTAACGCATGAAACTAGAGTTCCTCAAGACCTAAGTGAAGGGAAGTTACTCCATAGAGAAGAGAGAGATTACAATATAACTTTCCACATCTTCGATCTTCATGTCTAGACTTGTTCCGTGAGCTTCAATGGTGAAGAATCCTCCAAAATAGCTCCAATAATGGCTCTAGATCGCCCTCTCTCTCTTTGGTTCGTCCCTTGGGTGTTTGGGAGCCAAACCCAGCTCTCCCTCTCAAAAATCGCAGAAAACAGACTTATACCCGAGCAGGGGGCAGAAACATGGTCGTGTTTCAGAGCCCGTGTTTCAGCCCTGCTCGTGTTTCCTCTCGGCACTAAAAACACGGGCACAAGAGGGAAAAACACGACCGTGTTTCTTCCACCGCTCTTGTTTGATGCTTCATTTCTCCCTCGTCCGGATTCCGAATCAATCGCCGGTTGATCCCAAGCACTTGTAGTCTAGTCGTCTTTCTTTGCTTGACAAGCTTCCATGATTATTTGTCCATAAAATGAGGTAGAAATCCATACTTCCTCAGGTCATGCTCGAGTTTCTGCTCCCGAATTGCCAAATGATCTCTGATTGACTTGAAACTTGCGCCTATGCTTCACTTTACGTGCTAGGACATGAAATGTGAAAAAGGAACACAAACTAGCGTAAAATAGGCCAAAGTATGAAAAAAACCAAGCTAAACAATCAAAGAATTAGGGGTAAAAATATGTACAAATACAATGTTATCAGCAGGCCGCCCTTTGCTTTGTACGTGGATTGTGTTTGTATGTATTCACCTCCTCTGAAAGAGGGAGAGAGTAAGGAAAACCAAATAGCAAAGTTTGTTTTCATGTTATTCTTGGTTTGTTCTGAATACAATGCACATCTTTTCATTGACATTCATTTTTAAGTTTGTTTTAAGATTAATCTTTACTATCATTAAGTGTATTGTGTACATATATTTTGATAACCCAGGGAACCTCAGCCCCACGTGTCGCTTGAGCAACAGCGGGGCCTACTAAACCACTGGGGGTACCTGCATACTAACCGTGGCTTTCTGCTACCAACATCGGGGAGGCTGCGCCTCCGATACCAAGGGTGCCGCCGGGAACGCTCAAGTGGCGCCACTGGGAATCGAACTCAGGACCTCTCACATCCAGAGCTCAATTGGACCAGTGGTTTCACCACTAGGCTATGTTACCTTTCGCGTATTGTGTACATATATCAGGTACATGTATTCTATTCAACATAAATTTTATACATTATTTGTTATTTTCTAGCTCCATCAATAAAGTAATTCGAGTACTTTTCCTGAATTATTCATGGACAACTTCCCAAAGGAAAATATAAACTTAAAGGGTCAAAAATACAAATGAAAGTGAGCTACTCACATGTCACCTTTATACTTCAAAGTTGAGTACACCCTAACAAAAGTATCGAACTCTCCCGGCCAACAGACAAGCCATGTGCTAGTAATATATGATAAATATGTCATGCAATTAAGGCAGGAGTCGATAGCCCTGTACAGTGCAATATACAAACATCGTATAACATTGGAAATTTTTTGGAAAATTAGTGACACTTTTATATATTTGTGTGTAGACGGCAAGGCAACCAAACACGAGTTTGATAGGATAGGAAGACAAGAAATTAGCTATATAGAAAAACCGGCATTATATTTGAAAGTAGTTTTAAAATAGAAGATGAGGAGGAATTTGTTTGTTAAGAGAAGCTTGAAATTGGTTGGAAAATAAATGTATGCAATAATAAGTGGGAACACGCCTGAGATCCTCTACGTACGTGTCTCCATCACCGTCACCATCGTGCTGTAGCTGCAGCTGGAGCACCGGTAAGATGTTGTGATTTAATCGTTTCATATCGTTAATATATCAATTGATTTAAATTTTAGTAGACAGAATTTTTTGATCGGCCTACTGGTACGGTATGATTTTGGAAACACCGGAGAATACCGTGAAAAAAGTTGGCATCTTCTGCTGATCGATGTTGTCTTCCGTCCGGTAAGGTTTAATTAGAAAGCTTGCTGAACATGACAGTTTTTTGTTTTGTTTTGTTTAAATGCTTAAGGGTGGTCATCAAATACAGAAAGTAGGTAGGTGGTCAAGTTTGATGCATATATTGTCGCTTTGCTTTGCTTTGCTTTGTCAATCAATCCATTCCTAATTAAGATCAACGATGAAGCTGGCTGCCGATCAGATCACACCCACTCCAGATCGAAAATTAATTATATATAATTATCCCCCAAAAAACTTTAATTGCCTCCTAATTTACCTTTACTGCAATGGACAAAACCTGCTGACGGAGTTTCTAATCCTACAATTTAATACACAAACATTTACAGAAGACCACCCCAAACATGAGCACGGCGGCCTCGGCTCAGCCTCTCGGACTCGCCGGCCGGCGACAGTGGTACGTTCCCTCTTTCACTATATACATCATGTAAACAGAAACTTATTCATTCGGGGATGCTCTGCAAATTGGGCCGCCAAGAACGTTGGTCGTGGGCCTCGAACTCATCGCTGACGGCGACGAGGCGGGCCAGAACTTGCTGGACCGAATGCCCCTTCAAATCCACATTCCCCAGCAGCTCCGTCAGCTGCTTCTTGCTAATCTTGATCTTCACCTCCGTCGCCTCTCCCTGCACCTTCTGCTTCTCCTGACCGAGCAGCAGATTCTCTTCTCCTTCTTCTACTTCGTCACTTGGGAACAATCCCCCTCCTCTGTTTTCTCGCATTTTCCCCACGTGCTGCCTGGCGTTGGCGAAGAACTCGTCGGAGACAGGGGAGGAGCTCCAGTCGTCGCCGCCCCACAGCATAGCTGACTCCCTCTGCAAGCAGCAGTTTCCCATTTTTCTTTTCTTGCTCTGTTTGGAATGAAAGGAAAGGGAAGGGAAGGCTAGAATATGGGAGAAGGTGAGGGAATATATAAAGGGTGGATGGATAGGAAGGGAGAGGTCAAACCTAATTTTGCAGGGGAGCCACGTAGGAAGATGGGTGCGTGTGACGTGGCGAGTGATTTGGTGTTGACCTTGTCATCATTTCATTTCACCCACCATTTTTTTTTTTTTTTTGAAGAGGACTAATTAATTATTGGTCGATGATGATTTCCACATCACCATTCACTCTCCTTATCAGTTTTTTACAATAAATTGTATCGAAAACTTGGAGGATATACCGAAAAACGTTAATAATAATGTACTTTGTATTAAAATCGTTGTTTAATCTCATTAGAATCATCTACTGTATCATTTGTGATATTTCCTATCCGAATTCGAGGGAACGATACGATACGATTTGTAAAACATTGTTTCTTTTGCAATTGCGAGCCGACGTGGTGGGTGATGATGGAGTCGGTTAAAAAAGGAGTACCGGCGGAGGGAGATATGATGGAGAGAATTAGTTGAGTGGTGGTGTGAACGCAGATATGGGGAATCTTGGCTCCTTGATATCTATAAAGAAGAGCTGACCAAAGCAAAGGTGGTGTGAACGCAAATATACCAACGGAATCTTTGGTTGGTTCAAGCACTCACTAATATGATGATGGAGTCGTTCCACTTTGTCACCCTACACTTTCTCTTCTTATTTCCACGCACTTTCTCCCTCTTTTTTCAGAAATCTTGTAAATAATACCGGTATAGTACTTTTGTGGTTGATTTCGCTTTAAGAATTTGAGGGTCTTTTCTCATACAGATTTCCTTCGATAGCATATCAAAAGTATCAGGTATATATACTATCGGAGAACTAAATGGATGACCACACAACTGTAATCTAACCTGATTGTGATTAGATTGAGGGGTCAACTTATTTTACTTGTTCGATTAATTATTTTTAGTTGCTTGTTGCTTGTATAAAATTAAATGACAATCACATTCCCATGTAACTGCATATATTTTGAGCTTGTGATTATAATTAAGATATAAAAGAATTAAACTCTAATTTAGTATAATTATTATTCCTTTCTCCGAAGCAGTAACTCTTCATCTAAAAGTGTTTGATCGCTCTGAAACAAGACTATATGCTATCACGGGTGTGATCTAAAGCATTTTTACGGATCCTAAATTTAGATATGAAGATTTATAAATCAAATATTATGATTGTTATTGAAGCTTTTCCCGTCTAAAAGGACAATATGAGTGAAAAGCTCCAAGATTTGGCACAAGAAATTTGCTTCGAGGATGACCACTAATATGAAGTTTTGTTCATCTTCTATCCACAAGTTCTTTATTTCTACAACCATGCCATAATTGACTAAAAAAATTATATATGTTCCCTTCTTGATTTTTATAAATTATATAAGCACACGCGATCCACCACACAAAAGAAACCATTTCGCAAAAATGTATCGAGATTTTGATATGAGAGTTGGTGGGAGGAAAGTATAAGTTGGCTCCTAAACCAATCAAACAACCAAACAAACAAATTATGGCCCTATATTTTTTTCCCCTTGGAGCCAACAAGTAGTGTCCCACTCACTCCTCTTGTGCAAGACCCTGTTCCGTCTGACCTCAATCCTACCTCATCCCTCCACCAACTTCTTCTGCAACAACATTTATACACTATGATTGTACCGTATTCATCCTGATTACTTCAATTCATACAATAATTGATTTGATTTGATTCGATTGAGAAATTTTTCTCGGGAATTTAACATATTTTCTCTTGGCACATTGAATCACTGGGAGTCTCATATAAATAAATGAATATCATTATCAAGTTCACCATATAAAAATGATATAACAATGTCCTTAAAACGCAAATTTAATTATTCTCATATTGTCAGACTAATCAAATACCAAAAGATAGTTGCATCCACCAAATAAGAATATGTTTCATCATAATCAATGTCAAGGTCTTGGTAGAAAAATCGTGTGCAAACATGCATGCTTTATATCTCACAGCCTCACTCTTTTCACTATGTTTTTGCACAAAGGCCATTTACATCCCACTGGCTTCACTTCTTTAGGTGTATGGACAATAGGTCCAAAAATTTCTTGCTTCGTTAGCAATTTCAACCAGGTTGTTAAACCCTGGTCGGTTGGACAAGATTCGGTCACTTTTGGGCTCCAAAATGATCTCCAGAACCCCACGGTCTGACCACTAGAGAGGTAGACGAAGTAGGGATGGCAACAAAACCCGAATCCACGGGTACCCACCCGACCCAACCCGGTCAACGCGGGTAAAACCCGTGTTGACGGGTTTCGGGCTGAGTTCGGGTTTAAACCCGCTACACTATTCACCGGGTCGGGTTGGGTTTGGGTTTAGGTAAACCCGCCCCATGGGTACCCGCCCACACACATATAATTACTTTCCCGGTATATTTAACACTCTAAATAATATATCTTCCTTAAACAATTAATATTCTTTATGTTTGTGGAGACATATATAATTTGTTGTTTCTAATTGTTTAGAATGAAGTTGATATTATGGAGTGGAGAGTGAAGAAACTTAGTTGACGAGTAAGAAATTTTCAATCAATCTTATTGTTCATAGATGTTTATCTTTAATTTTGAACAATTTGTATTGATCATTTTCGGTTTGCTTGTATGCTCTAGATTGGTTTTTTTTGTATGAATAATTTGTATGAGAAAATTAATGTTAAACTTTTATTTTGAAAGAAACTTGTTATTGTAAATTTTTTACCACAAAAACCCACGGGTACCCATGAACCCGCGGATACCCAGCGGGTTGGGTTGGGTTTGAGTTTTTCAAACCCAGCGGGTTTTACCCCGGGTTTTTTTTGGCGGATAAACCCATGAGTTTGGGTTTGGGTTTGGGTTTGACAAAACCCGCCCCAACCCGACCCATTGCCATCCCTAAGAGGAAGAGATGGGGGGTGGAGGAAGGAGGATGGAGGATGGGGGGTGGGTCATGTGAATTATGTTTTTTTTTTTTTTGTGGGGTGAGTTTCTAATAGTTACGTGTAAGACAAATTTTATTTCAATCATTAAATTTTTAAATTACTATCTTATTTGTAAAACGGCTCAAACAAGTTAAACCCCTGATCATACCATTGAACATCAAACCACTTGCTTGACTCGTTCAACGACTTAAACCGAGTTGACAACCTTGAATTTCAATTATATCTCTAATGCGTCTGCCAAGTTTGACCAATTTATCACTCTTTTTTCTACACTAGCTTATAACCCGGCCCATTGGCCGGAATGTTCATATTTGATTATTTATATTTTTATGTTACATTTAAGCCAATCAACCGGTTTAATTTTATTGACAATCCTTCGATCGAGATGATACATAAAGAAAGAATATATAGGTCTAACATTCGGAGAAATACTATCATCATTTAAGAATATAAAATATAAAATGTATCATTAATTCCATTTTCATAATGTTAATTAAGCCCTCGTTAAAATGTTATTGGTTAGTTGGTTTTCAAGAAAGAGGGTATAAAAGATCAGTGAAATTCCACACGACCCATAAATAGTTTGAAACTAAATCTTAAATCTCACAATCCTACATAAGGGTTTAATGCGCTCCTTTTATGAACAACATGCCACTAATAAAAAAGAAATAGAGAGTTGTTGATTTAAGTCAACTATATACTAACAACTAAGCTAAGAGGGGACCATCAAAACTTGAGAGCAAACGACAAAATTAGGGTTATCTCCAACACACTAATAGACTCAATCAAAGTAATAAGGCACAAAATTAGACACTCCTTGTTTATCAGTTCCAGTAGGTTGAATAAAGAATCGACCTACTTCAATAAGTCAATCAATGATTCCTCGTTTAAGATAAAAATAGGTTGTGATAGATGTAAAAACCATAAACATAAGATCCAATAGCCACCACTCTTCCTTGTACAGCCAATTTTTTTTTATTTATCTCAAGAGACATATTTTCAACCAAAAATTCAATTTCTAATCCTCCTTTTGCAACTCCATTATTTATTAAACTCTTTTACTTTTCCAACTTAAATCCGCAACAATAAAACTGATGTGCCAAGAGATATCGGATGATTGATTTTCAAAGGCGGCCTTGTATTGGGAAGTGAAAGGGGCGCAAACTATTGTACGTTGGAGAGAATTTCCGAGGAAGTTAGAAAGAGATAAGAACAAAGATAAAACCACAAATTTAAATTGAAAAATGCAAGGACGCAACACGTAGTGACAAAATTAGTTTTTTCCATGTTAGCCAATTGCCAATTTACCTTTAGCAAAAATTAAGGAGAGAGAAAGAATTTTAAAATTGAGAAAATTACATGAAACTCTACTATGAAAATTGAAGTATCAAGCACCATAAAAATACATACGGTATACTTAGTGGGCTTGCTAATCATGATGGAAAGTCCTGTGATTTTCAGAGAGTTGAACTTCGTGTATATTTTGTATTCAAAAAGGCACAACAAATTTGTTCAGCATAAATGGTTGTGATTGTTGTCTTTGTTTGAAGAGACCCGGGTTCAAATCTTGATGTTGATATTTTTTATGTGAGATAAATAATTAATTGTAAAGACAAAAATGTTCTTCCTACTTTCACTCTCGTTGCATAAATTTTGAAATGAAAAAAAGTACACAAAAGTGTACTATATATTATTGGGGGATTAAGGTACAAATTGCGATTTACAATCATCAATTTTATTTATTATTTCTAGCGCTACATTGTATACAAAACAATTGTCAATGTTAAATTTTCCTCGATTCCACAGTATTTCATCCAAGACATGGATTACAACCAAAGTGTAGTTGCAAATCATTGTCAATTTGGCTGCAACCAAGTTGATTTGTATTGTATATACACTTCTTAATTAGGGCCATCAGTCATGTGAACTCAAAAGATGCGCGGATGCGGTTACGTGTGTTGTGCAATTTGCCTTTGTCATTACAGTCAGTCTTATGACTCTTATCCACTAATGACATTATTATTATTCTGTATTCAACAACAATCACTCAATCATACTAATCTACAATGATATCCGTTCAGCTTCAATGTGAAGATTAGATTAGCGTTTACTGATAATTATTTAAGCATACCAATTAGTCTTTGTTGGAAATGTATGTATGAATAGCTTTGAAAGCTATAGTCTCAAGTGGAAAAACTACCATATTGGTAGTTTTACTTGGTGAAATGTGTATAAAGATATGAGCCTCTCTCCTAAGGGCATGCCCCTAGGGGTGACCCACTTTTGTGGAAGAGGGAGGACCTAATGGACCACCACACACATGCGCGCCATCCGACAGATGGGTCGGTTGGTTGGCTCATTTGAGACTATATATTTTTTGGAGAAATTCCGAACTAAATTAATTATTAATCGGTTATTCTGAGGAATATTCGAAGGATAATTGATTAAAAAGGAATATTCGAAGGATAATCCCGCAAGATTTCTCTTAACCAACGGTTTTAATTAAGGAAGTAATTATCTTCCTTAATTAATCCGACTTATTCCCCAAGCTAGAGGGTATATTCCTAGGGGTTCGGCTCCTATAAATAGCCGCCTCCCCAGCCCCTCTAAACACACCACAACGAGCATAAACACAATAGAGAGAGTGTTCAGAGAGCTCTGGTTTTCGCACAAAACCGCGAGTACAAAGAGGAGTTGTTTTATCCTAAAGACGACCGGTTGATAGTCTGTCGTGCGCATCGAGGGCAGTGCCGCGAACGTCTTAAAGAGAGCGACCTAGTCCGCGACTTAGCTCCAGATTCGATAACCTCGTTCTTGTTGTTGTTCCGTTACTAACAATTTTAAGACGTTCGGCTGCTGCTATGTCGACTGAACAAAACAACATGGCCGGATCTGGTGCCATCGATATCAATCGACCCTTTCACTTCGTTGGAGTCAACTTCCGTCGCTGGAGACAAAAGATGGAGTTCTACCTAACGACCAAGAAGTTGGCACACTGCCTCATCAGCATGCCCGTCGAGCTGCCGGAAGATGCGAGCGATGAGGAGAGGGTTGCTTCTGCTAAGGAAAGGGAGCATGACTTCCTATGCAAGAACTACATCCTCAATGGCCTGGCAGACGATCTCTATGACTACTATGCGGACAACAAGAACACCGCAGTGATGATCTGGGATGCGCTCCAAAAGAAGTACTACACAGAGGAGGCTGGAGCTAAGAAGTATGTTGTCAGCCGCTACCTGCGCTACCAGATGGTGGATGACAAGTCTGTAGAAGTTCAGTCCCACGTACTTCAGAAAATAGCTCATGAGATCATCTCTGAAGGTATGCCTCTGGACGATCAATTTCAAGTTGCTTGCATTATTGATAAGTTGCCCCCCTTCGTGGAAATATTTTAAGAATATGCTTAGACATAAAACCAAAGAATTTTCACCGGAAACTTGATTACTCGCCTAAGGATTGAGGAAGAGTCCCGCAAGCAGGATATGAAAGAAGAGGTGATGGTCGTCACTGCTAAACGACCCACCCCTAGAGCTCTTAAACCTAACCAGAAAGGGTTTAAGAGTAAGAACCAGCAGATCCGCCCCCACCAGAATGGTGCATCTCGAGGATACAAAGGGTCATGGCCCAAACATCTAAGAATGACCCACCGTTTATCTGCTATAACTGTGGTAAACCTGGTCATATGGCAAAAAAGTGCAGGAATAAGCAAAACCCTGCTGCTACGGCCAGGGTTAACTTGACAGAAGAGGATTTGATAGCCATGATCACAGATATGATCGCTGAAGTCAACCTCACCGATGACTCAGAAGGATGGTGGCTGGATACAGGTGCATCGAAGCATGTATGCAACAATCGTGCTATGTTTAAAACATACACAGAAGCACCTGCTGACAAGAAAGTGTTGCTGGGGACTACTCACACCACTATGGTTGTTGGTTCTGGTGAAGTGGAGCTGAACTTCACCTCTGGAAAGAAGATGGTGCTCAAGGATGTGTTGCACACTCCAGAGATAAAGAAGATTCTTGTTTTGGGATATCTTCTTAATAAGGCTGGGTTTAATCAATCTATTGGGGCAGACTTGTATACTCTTACTAAGAATGGGAGTTTTGTGGGAAAGGGATATGCATGTAATGGGATGTTCAAGTTGAATGTCGAAATTAATAAGATGAATTCTTCAGTTTACATGGTGAGTGATTTGAATGTATGGCATGCTCGTCTTTGTCATGTGAACACACGAATTGTGAAGAATTTAAGCAAGCTAGGAAATATCCCTAAACTCTCAATGAATGAATTTGATAAATGTGATTTCTAATAACGAAAACGCCCCATAAATTAGTGAGTAGAGAATTAGAACCCTTAGATCTGATTCATTCTGATATTTGTGAACTAGATGAGATGTTAACTAGGTCTGGCAAGAGATACTTTATCACTTTCATAGATGATTGCTCTGATTATTGCTTTGTTTATTTGATGAAAAACAAAAGTGAAGCCCTTGATATGTTCAAGGTATTTGTGGTTGAATTTGAAAATCAGTGCAATCGAAAGATAAAAATACTTAGGAGTGATAGAGGATCAGAGTATGAGTCTACTCCCATCAAGGAATTCTATATCTCACATGGTATCATTCATGAAACCACGGCACCATATTCACCAGAAATGAATGGTAAAGTGATAACGTCGTATTTACACATGATTTCACCCTCGTTTCTTGATCATTTTGGCTTGAGTTTTTGCTTTCTTGGAATATTTTACGATAGGTTGTGTTCCTTTGTCACATTTCAGGTCCTATCATGTAAATTGAAGCAAAGGCAAAAGTTTCAAGTCAATCGGAATTCATTTGGCAATTCGGGAGAAGAAACACGAGCATGACCTGAGGAATAATGGATTTCTACCTCATTTTATGGACAAATAATCATGGAAGTTTGTTATGAAAAGAAAGTGGATGAGGCTACGAGCGTCTGGGTTCAAACGGCGACTAATTCGGAGTCCGGACGAGGGAGAAACGAAGCATTAAACAGGAGCAGAGGAAGAATTACGGGCAGCCCCTGCAAAATTACGGGCGTAATTGCTTCTGTCATGCCCGTAAATGCAATGTCGAGCCTAAATCCCTGAAAAATCCTGTCGCAGAGTAAATTACGGGCAAGAGTGGACTCATTTACGGTCGTAATTATTTAAATACTGGCAGTAATTGGGTAATTACGACCGTAATTACCTTCCTTCGAGTTCAGTGAAACGCGCGTTTTGGGCGATTTACAGGCAGACCATGATTACGGCCGTAATTCACCCCGTATTTCGCCCAGAATCGGGTTTTTGAGGCAGATTCGAGCCAGAGGAGAGGGAGTCGACTTTTTGGAGCAAAAACAGAGTTTTAGAGAGAGAAAGTGCGAAGAACAAACCCTAGGAGCTATTTGGAGTGGATTTCTCACCATTGAAGCCCAGATTGCATCCCAAGGAGTGAAGATCATCATCCCGGAGCAGATTATCCTCATCTTTATGAGTATGACTACTTTGATTACTATTTCTCTCTCTCTCTCTCTCTCTCTCTCTCTATGGAGTAGAACTCTCTCTCACTTGGGTATGAAGAACACTAGTTCCATGTGTTAGGAATCTTGATTGTAATTACGTTTGGATTGTGATATTGCTTGATTATAATCGATTGAAGTGTTTTGAATGAGTCGATTGAAGTCTGATCGTCTTTTATTGATTTCTGCTGCAACCTGAGATAGATAGAATCTGATTAGGTTGTTAGAGCTTCTTCAATCGGTAGTAGTGAATCGATTATACGAGAGTTAGTCGATTCACTGCTTTGTACTATAATCTAATTCCAGTAGTGGAGTTCTGTGTTCATTGCCTCAGCGTTCTATCCCAGTGAAGACTAGTCGTCTGCTGGGTAGTTTGACTGAGAGGGCTTGGTCAGCTTAAGAGATTCCAAGCTACTGTCGGATCTTCCGCAATATAATCAGCAGTAAAGCAACCAAAAGTAATTACAACTGTGACCTAACTAAGGAACTAGGGGGACTCATTCCCGAGTGACTCTTCCTTTACTTTAGAAAACCAAACCATTTCCTGCTTTCTTACTTTTTTTACATAAATCAACAATCACTCAACTTAGTTTACTAGATAACAGATATACACGAAGTAGGCAGTAGATCTAGACCCCGGGTTGACAATTAGAGCTTGCCTGTTACTGCATTTCCGGACTGTGATTACACTTGGTCGCAGTTTGGTGTTGTGTTTTAGCGTGTCAAGTTTTTGGCGCCGTTGCCGGGGAACCTCTAGGTTATTGGAGAAACGTGAAAGTTTGTTACTCTAGCTTTTTCTTTACTGAATTTTCTCTCTTCCACCTGTGTGCCTTCACGGGTTGCTTTTGCTGATTGTGTGCAGGTAGTGCATGACCCGTAGCCAGTCGGGAGATTTACTACCATTAGTCCAGGAGCTTGAACGGACCTGTAGGAACTTCAAGCGGGTTCTAAAGGCGCGACTGGCTGCGGAGGAGGTGCTAGCACAGCTGCAAATTGCCGTCGAAGAAGAGATGGGTGACCCACAGAATAATGATGTGGTCATTCCCGAGGAACAGACCATGGGATATTACTGGACCGCTAGAGCCGCGGACATGAGGTCGCCTATTCAGCACCCTCAAGTCCCAGCCAACAAATTTGAGGTGAGCACCTTTGTCATCACTATGTTGCATGGTTCGGTAGTATTCCGTGGCAAAGAGGGGGAGTGCCCCCAATCACATATGAGGCGATTCCACGAGCTCATCGATGGAATCAAGATAAATGGGGTCCCAGCCGATGCCATCCAGTTGAGGTACTTCCCATTCACTTTGAAGGAGCAGGCCAAGGAGTGGCTAGATACCAGACACCTGGATCGATCACCATGTTCACCAACCTGGAGGACAAGTTCCTCACTCCCCAGTCCAAAACGGCGGACCTGTAGAAGCAAATTACCCACTTTGCTCAGGATGAAGATGAGACCATCCAGGATGCTTGTGAACGATACACCAGTCTTTTCCTCATGTGTCCCAACCATGGTTTTACTTACGCCTTCAAGGTGGGCACCTTCTACCATGCCCTTTTCCCGGAGGACAAGCAGCTGATTGACTCAGTCTGTGGCGAGAATATGCTCACCAAAACACCACCACAGCTGAATCAACTTTTTGAGGAGATCGCAGAGCAGGGCTATGATTGGGGAACTGCGAGGAGATCGAGATGAGCACCAGGGCGGGGTGTGCATGTTGTAGCCACCCAGTCATCTGATTTAGTGCAGGTGGTATCTAAGCTGGTTTCAGCCATCGATCGCTCTGGGAGGATTTCAAGTACAGGACAGCAGTAGGCGATGCACTGCCAGTGGTGTGAGAGCTACCATCACACCGTGGAGGACTGTCATGCGATGAGGGGGTCGTCTACTCCCCAGGAGCAGGTGAACTTCATCCACAATGCCAGGCGCAACGATCCTTAGAGTAATACCTACAATGAGGGATGGCGCCAGCATCCAAATTTCTCCTGGAGTGGCAACAGCAATCCAAAGCCACCTGGCTTCCAGGCTCCTGCAGCTAGTTTTCCAAACCAGAGATAGCCATACCAGCCTCGCCCGGGCCAGATACAGCAACAACAGCCACTCTATCAGCCCAGACAGGGGAAGTGATAGACCGTTAATTACACATGTTTTCACCCCTGTTCTTACACCGTTTGAGATGTGGTTTCTCGTGTTTTAGGCTGATTTCACGCTAGGTAGTGTTTGTTTGTGATATTTCAGGTCCTAGTACGTGAATTGAGGCTTGGGAGCGAGTTTGGGGTCGATTGGACGAAGATCGGGCACGAGGCAAGTCAAAAAGGAGGCCACACGGGCACACCCACAACTCACACGGCCGTGCAAGTTACCACTTTGGCCATGTGAGATTGTGCGAGAGCAAACACGGCTTGCCCTGATATCCACACGGCCGTGTGAAGGAGTGGTCTGGCCGTGTGAGATTGTGCGAGAGCAAACACGGGCAGGATGGAAATCACACACGACCGTAGCGACCCTGGCCGTATGGGAAACCTGAAGATCGAACTAGTTGGAACACAGCGTTTTGACTCACACGGGCAACTGGGTATGCCACACGACCATGTAGCCCAGCCCGTGTGAGTCGGGAATTCCTGGTTTTAACCCAATTTCGGGCTGCAAGAGAGAGGATCGGACTTTTTGAGCAAAAACAGAGCCCTAGAGAGAGAAAGGACGAAGAACACATCCTAGAAGCCATCTTGGAGCTGGGTTTCATCAAATCAAGCTTGGAGATCGTCATAGGAGTGGAAATCATCATCCCAGAGCAGATTCTTCCCATAATTATGAGTATGACTGCTTTGTATCTTGTTTTCCTCTCTCTCTCTATGGAGTAGAACCCTTCTCTCACTTGGGGATGAAGAACCCTAGCTCTATGTGTTAGGGATTGATTGTAATGACTTGGGATGATATTACTGTTTGATTTTAATCGAATGATGCATGTTTATTGAGTCAATTTAAGTCTGATCAACTTTTCCTGATTTCTGCTGCAATCTGAGATAGATAGAATCTGATTAGGTTGCTAGAGTCTCATCATTCGGTAGTAGGAGATTGGCTATACGAGAGTTAGCCAGTTTACTGCTTTGTACTGGAATCTAATTCCAGTAGTGGAGTTCTGTTCTTACTGCTTCAGCTTTCTATCTCGGTGAAGACTAGTCGTCTGCCGGGTAGTTAGACTGAGAGGGCTTGGTCAGCTTAAGAGATTCCAAGCTACTGTCGGATCTTCCGCAGTCTAATCAACAGTAAATCAACCCAGGGAAATACAATTTAAACCTAACTAAGGAGCTAGGGGGACTCATTCCCGAGTGACTCTTACCTGCTTGAGAAAACCGTATCAATTCCTGCTTTCTTTCTGCTTTTGGTTTTAAACAACAATCACTTACTTTAGTTGGCTAGATAATAGAGAATCACTGAGTAGGCAGTAGACCTAGACCCCGGGTTGATAATATCACTTGTCACTTTACTGCATTCCCGGTCTGCGATTACACTTGGTCGAAGATTGGTGTTGTGTTTTGGCGTGTCAGGAAGGCTTTTCAACAGCCCCCACAGCAGTAGTATCAGCAACCTGGTGCACCTCCATCAGTCCCAGCACCGGGCGAAGATGAGACCATCCAGGATGCTTGGGAGAGATACAACAGTCTCTTCCTGAGGTGTCCCAATCATGGTTTCAACGATGCTTTCAAGGTGGGAACCTTCTATCATGCCCTCTTCCCAGAAGATAAGCAGCTGATTGACTCAGTTTGTGGCGGGAACATGCTGACTAAAACACCGCCACAGCTGAATCAACTCTTTGAGGAGATGGCAGAGAACGGGTATGATTGGGGCACTGCGAGGAGATCGAGGAGAGCACCAAGCCGAGGTGTACATTCTGTGGGAAACCATTCCTCTGATTTGGTGCAGGTGGTGTCGAAGCTGGTTTCAGCTATCGATCGTTCCGGGATGATTCCAGGGACCGGACAGCAGCAGGCGATGCTCTGCCAGTGGTGCGAGAGCACCCATCATACAGTGGAAGACTGCCAGGCGATGAAGGAATCGACCACACCCCAGGAGCAGGTGAACTTCATCAACAATGTCAGGCACAATGACCCCTACAGTAACACCTACAATGAGGGGTGGCGCCAGCATCCCAACTTCTCCTGGGGTGGGGCAAATTCCAGACCACCAGTCCCCCAGGGACCACCGGGCTTCCAGAGGCCACCATATCAGCCCAGACAGGGGCAATTCCAGCAGCAGCAGTCTCTCTACCAGCCCATGCAGGGGCATGCTACTCCATCACAGCCGCGACCTTTCCAGCAGCCAGATGCAGCCCCTGCCGCCCCAGTGCAGAATGATCAGATGGCTGAACTGCGGGAATTGGTGGGTTCTCTCGCCAGTTCTAGTCCTCAAAAATTTAACACTATCGAGCAGTTCATGGAAAAGGCATCGGGTAAATTCTTGGCTCTTGAAGCTGGCCAGAGGAACACACAGGCTGTCTTGCAGGATATCCAGACCCAGCTGGGGAGTGTGGCTCAAGCAGTGGCCCAAAGGGCTCCTGGTACTCTACCCGGTCAGACCATCCCTCATCCTCAAAACCCGAATGAGCACTGCAATGCCATCATGACCAGGAGTGGCAAGATGACTATTGATCCACCTGCTCGGGCACAATAGAGAGAGGCCCCTGCCTCGGCATCTCTAGCAGCTGAAGAAGAAGCAGAGAAGGAGGTTGAGGTGCCTGCACCTAAACCGCAACCAGTAGTGAAGGAGTATATCCCTAAACTCCCCTTCCCTACTCGGTTGCACAAAGACAGGCTGGAGGTAGAGTTCGAGAACTTCATGGCCATGCTTAGGAAGCTGAATGTCCAAGTACCTTTCCTGGAGGCACTATCTCAAATGCCTAAGTATGCGAAGTTCCTGAAGGATCTTCTCTCAAAGAAGCAGAAGCTGAGCGAGCTGGCCACTGTGGAGCTCAGCGAGGACTGCTCGGCCATTCTGCAGAACAAGCTTCCGCAGAAACAGTAGGACCCAGGTAGTTTTACTATCCCGTGCTCTATAGAAAATTTGCATGTAGAGAGGTCCTTGGCGGATTTAGGTGCTAGTATCAATGTTATGCCATATAAACTGTTTAAGAAACTAGGCCTAGGTGCACCCCGTGCTACTAGGATGAGCCTTCAATTAGCTGACCGATCTGTAGTGCATCCTAGGGGCATAGTGGAAGACCTTCTGGTTAAGGTTGGCAAATTCAATTATCCTGTTGATTTTGTGATTTTGGACATAAATGAGGATGTGGATGTGCCAATGATACTGGGAAGGCCTTTCCTGGCCACCGCCAAGGCCCTCATAGATGTGCATGATGGGACCTTAGTTTTGAGGGATGGTGAGGAGCGAATAAGGTTTTCAATTTCTAATACTCGTCCTGCTTTGTCACCTCTGCATGTTGTATCTCACCAGGAGCACGAGTCTGTCGTGTATCATTCTGTGTTGCCTATTTTGCAGGATCCGCCTCCCATACATTCGCCGCCTCTCCCGTCCACTCCATCATCGAAGGAACAAATCAGGGAGGAGTGGCGGCCGAAACAGCAGGCAGCTAAACCTGCTCGAAAGAAGGCCAGAGACCACTATGAGCTGGTCCCGCCCCCACCTTGGCCATCCGAGTATTCACTCGCTTGCATCCTTCCGGATGGCCAAGTTGAGTTGGCAAATGCTGGTGGCCACATTCGGCGTGTGCATGGCCACCATTTGAAGCTGTACCTCAAGAGCGAGGTGGATCCGCTCTTGAAGGCACCTGCTCCTTCACCTCACTAAGCATCCATCGACTGGCGTCCAGCTAAAAGACGGTAAAGAAGCGCTTGTGGGGAGGCAACCCCACCTAGGACCATGTCGAAGCCCAACCTCCGACATCAGTATGTTCAAGATTTGAGAAGGGGGGCCCAACGGGATCATTTTCAGAACATCCTGGCCTGCAAGTTTGGGCAGCATCATTACTGGTCCAAGCGCGAGTTGGAGAAGCTGAACTGCTACGAGCACCTCTCCCCCATTGTCACCAACCGCTACTAGCGCCGCCTACTCAGCATCCGCGCGAAGGTTTACCATGAGCTCGTGCTTGAGTTCTACACTACCTTCAAGCACGCAGCCATGGACGATTGGGAGGACGAAGCTGCCGTCCAGTTCCGACTCGACGGTGAACCACGATCCATGAGCTACGACGAGCTGGCGGACGCCCTCGGCCTCAACATGGTCAATGATAGGACCTTCATCACCGAGATCGCCGAGCCAGCAGGGGTGGACTTTGGGAGGCTGTACTTCAGCCTCGCTCGGCCACGTCAGCTTCCTTTCAAGGCGGGGAAGACGAAGGCCAGCACATTGCAGCTCGAAAACCGTCTCCTCCATCACATGCTGGCCAAGTCTTACACCCCAGCCTCAAACAGTGCCAGCGCCATCACCAAGCGATCCCTGTACTTCATCCAGTCCATGCGCCAGAGGGATCATCCCCTACACTTGGGCTCGGTGGTGGCGAGGACCTTCGAGAAGAGTGCTTCTGAGCTGAAGAAACTCCACTGCACTCCCCTCATCACCTGCCTGACAGAGTACTTCCAGATATCCCTGCAGGGGTGCACAGAGCAGGGAGAGACCACTCCCTTTGGCCGGGTTACGATCAACAAAATGATCATGCTTCGAGAAGAGCGAGGTGTCATGTGGATCGAGGGGTTTCCTCGACCTCAGATCCTAGAGGCGGTCCAGCAGGAGGCTCCCGAGGGTGCAGCTGATGAGGAGGTCCAGCCGGAGGATGTAGATGATACTGCTGCTGCCCGGCCCACTACCTTCAAGTACGGGGGTGGAAGTTCCAGCTTCCCCGGCAAGGATTACTTCACCTCCCAGTTCGAGCAGCTGCGTCTCCAGAACCAGCAGATCCTCGACCATCAGATGCAGTTCCAGCAGCAGTACGCAGCTCACCAGGCCGAGTACCACCAGAGGATGGCTGTTTACGATGAGAGATTGGACCAGCTCCAGACCCAGCAGGGAGTAACTCTCGCACACATCGAGCGGGAGAGGCGCCGCTCTCGGCGCATGCACGAGGTACAGGGGCATCTGCTCCAGCTGCTACCGGGCGAGCAGCCAGTCTGGAGGACTCCTTGGGAGGACTCCCCACTTCCACCTCCACCCGCTGATGGTGATGGTGCTGATGGTGATGACGCCTTCATGGACGACATCGACCTGGATAACCTCGGCGACGAGTAGGCTGTACTCGTTGCCCATCTCAGTGTGTTTTGTTTTTCGTTTTAGACTTTTGTGTGTTTGCTCCATGTGTGAGGAGCTTGAACTTAGTGTAGTTTGTTTTTGTTTTTGTTTTTTTTCTTTTGTGGATTGTTTTTGCTGTAGCCGTCTGGGCTAACACTTATCCCTAACACACCGTGTGCTAGTGTGTTCTTGGTGTTCGATTCATGCAGAACTGTCCATCTTCCCATTGGTTTCTCGCTGACTGGTCCCCTTCCAGTCCCCCAGCAGTTTCAATCCGGTAACATCGTTCCCCTTATCTCTCCCTCTACTCCATTGAGGGCAATGTCGTGCTTAAGTGTGGGGGGGTGCTTTGTATCGGTTGGAATGTATATATGTGTGCTTGGAGCTTAGTCCACTGTCCAAATCTCGAGATTTGAGGGCTCCAAGTACTGCTGTTATATCATATTGGCACTGTGTTTTGATTGATGAATTAAATGGTTTTCGGATTGATGCATGACAGCTTGATTGTGACTAGGACAACCTATGATGAGGACTAAGACGTGCAGTAGAGTTGTGTAGGGGTTCAGTTTTTCAACTGTTTGCTTACCAACTGTGACTTGGATTGATTACTTGTTCTTGACAGTCTCTTATGCATCTAGTTCAGGGTATCAGAATGTGAGATCGAGCATATAGGTAGCCATGTGAGATTTGAGCCTGCTCGTTTCTTTCTTGTGCGATAGATCCCTCTTCCATGATGTGTAGCATTCACGTTGTCACTAGCTAAGATGATGGGGGCATAGGATTAGCCCACGACCAATTTTGACTGTCCTGATGTGTCATATCCCCTAGTCAGCCCTTTTGAGCCGTGTGTTATCCTTTCTTTTGGTCTGAAATGAAAAAAATCACCCTGTTTGCATCTTTTAGAAGGTTCCACAGAGTGGGTTTTACATGTTCTCTGCTGTTTCTGCTAAATTTAATGTGAGTGTTGGAGGTAGTGCTTAAAAGTTGGGCTGGGCAGGTGTTTGAAATATATGCAGAAGTGGTGGCTCTCTTAAGAAATGAAAAGAAAATGAAAGAAAAACAAA